CCCGCATGCCAGACTGAGCTTCCCTACTACGATATCCAAATGAAGTTCAGACACTCGCGCTGTAGTTAGTCGGGAGCATCAAACCAATTGAAGTGCAGCACATTTGACATTTCAAGCGCCGAATACCGTACAAGCTATAATTTGTTCCAGATTCTACACCGTGGGTCATGTTAGTGGTCAGAATGCCATTTCCCAATGGGAAAGGAGCAGAAGGTCCCTGATGGTCAAAGGGTTGTTCCCCTAAGGTCAGGAGGCTGATTGGACACTAATTGTGGCCTTATAATGGAGATATTTTATACGAGTTTGGTTGCTGAGAAGAGTCGTCTTCCAGTGTTGATCATAAAAAAGAGCTGTCCAACCTTTTATAACACCGTATATATGCGTGGACGCATGCGCCATGCGGTGAACATGGAAGCACATTGCCTAAACTCTCTCCCATTTGAGTATAGTTCACATGGTCATTGGCAAGCACGCACACTATTGGGTCCCGCATGGCCATAGAGTAGTTGGAGGTGCTCACACAGTCATTTAATCAAGGTCATTTATTTTGCGTAGATCAAATCCGTTGATGGTCAGATTCTCACATCATTTTGACACGCCAAGAGCTGTTATGTACGTGTTACAAAAATTCTTGCGATGCGGTACTCTACATAAAGAACCATAGGGATGAATCGAGCTCTAGTCAACGACCGAAGATACTGGCCATGATACTCCTAGGCCAATGGATGATTTTTCCTACCGCTTACCGTAATTTATTTGACTAGCGTTCATACGTTACTCTTCCTAGTGCAGCTCTCACGCCCCCGACCACACCGATCCCAACCTAACAAACCTCTTTCCCTAGTTGCGATTCCTCATTATGATCGCGCGCTAGCTGACATCCTTCCACAGGAGCTTTGTCCTGACAAAAGTTAGAAGAAAGAAAAGAGGAATGAACTAGCAGAAATGGGGATACAAATAGCAAACCCTAGAAGGGTTGTACTCGCTATAGAGCACCCCACTACAGGCTAGAACATAAGAATAATATTCTGACATGTCCTCTTGTGTGTTCTAGCGAGCACTTGCGAACATGAAAGACAACTCCTGACAATAAAACTAATTTCAATAAAAACGCAATTGCTGCTCAATTCGTCACATAGAAATCGCTCGCATGCTATCGTGCTTTGTTATCCATCCATTAGCTCGCTCGCATCCTCAACAGTGAAACGTCGGCATTCGTTGCGGATGTCGTCGAATCCTGACGGTCGGAATCTTTGATCCGAGGGCTGATATGCACCAACATCCAGCGACATGGTCACTTCAGTCACGCTCGAAACACCAACTACCACTAGTTTCAACCACACTCTTATGCTGCACCAACAACCAAGACATCCACCATCTGATGGGACAAGCAACCTCAATGCACAACATTCGGAACCCCATTGACACGGCGATCGCAACCACCAACGGCACCCCTCTCAGCACTTCGTCGATGCCATCAACTGCAACGACACGTCTTCAACGCCCCCAACCACACATGTCTCAGATGACCCAATTCTAATGAAGCATGTTGCCATTGCAAGAACAGAAAGAAAGCTTTCTCAATATGAAATTTTTTGAAAGTGTATAACACTTTCTAAAAATACGTATTGTGAAAGCGCAGCTGACTGTAGTGCAGCAAGGCAACTGCGAATTAGCATTCGCCGAATATATGAGAGGGTTGGAGGCCATTTGGCCTCCACCCACGTCTTCATTTCGGAACTTTGTAGTTCCACTCCCCACCCACCCACCCTGATTATATACGGTACATGGATGATTCTTAGTTGGACGAGAATGTTGTAATTACTGCAATTCTAATGAAGCATGTTGCAATTCTAATGAAGCATGTTGCCATTGCAAGAACAGAAAGCAAGCTTTCTCAATATTATAATTTTGTGGCGTGTGTGGTGAGTGCGCAGTGCGTGTGGCGAGTGTCTGATGTGTGTGGTGACTGCCTGGGTGTGTGGTGAGTGCGTGATGTATGACAATTTCAGATTCAGAACACCAAGATTCTTTTCACGTTCCCATCCTAACTTTCAATGCCTTCAGCAAATGCATGGTAGCAGCAGATATATTTGCGATTACAGAAGAACCAAAGGAGCACCCAGTTCCGCTACCAACCATGCACTTACAGCACACACGCCCACCTAACTCTTTCACCCACACACACCACCTAACCCTTCCACCCCCCCACACACACATACCTCTCCCAGCAGCATCACCAGGACAGAACAAAGCAACCAAGTTTGCAAACCGTGCCACTTGCAAGCCACATCAGCAGCAACAGACAGAAGGGAACGCAGCAGCAGGCAAAAGCACCGACAGCAGTGGAGGCAACAGCAGCAGCAGCAGCAGCTTATGGAGTGCCTTGTCTGCCGCTGCAGTACCCCACCGCACCGAGCTGCTACCAGCAGCAGGCACCATACCAGCTGCGCTGCTGCCCTGCCTGCCGCTGCCCAACTCCACTCCGCCGTGCCTCTCACCCCTCCAATCTCCCCTCTCCCACTTAGATCATCGTTTTCGCGGTCTTGACGAACGAGCCAGCGCCCGCCTGCAGGGCACCCTTGGCGCCCTTGCCGCTGCGGAACGCGTTGACTGCAGCCGTGAGCGCCTCCTTGCCGCCCTTCTTCACCACATTCTTCACCAACCCTCCCGCCTTCTGCCCCGCCTCGCTCTTCGCCGCCTGATTCGCCGCATTCTTGATCTTCTTCCAGCTCAGCAGCACCCGCACCGCCTCGTCCAGCCCGTCCGTCGCCTCCCCCACCTCCTCCTCCTCGCCACCCACGTCCAGGTCACCGCCGCTCGCTTCCAGCAGCTTGCGCCCCCAACTCGCCGCGTCCTCGCCCGCGCTTCCCCCAGCAGCGACGTCGCCTCGCAGTGGCGCGGACGCGGCATAGAGTGCGGGGAGCGAGACAAGGACCAAGGCGAGGATGAACACGGTGCGAAGAGTGGCCATGGTGACGAGCGATTTAGAGAGCGTAGAAGCGTCGGATTATAGAAGAGAGCACTGCGAACGACGATAAAGATCAGATTTGGGTGACTTTCGAGCTGTAACACCTGGCTACGCACTGGGTCAAACCGAGGGTTGATTTTGAGGCGCAGCGGATGCACTCGTACCCTTACCTGTAAGCCCCACAGGCGTTACACGAGCACTGAGAGAAGCACTAAGTAGCGGCGAAAGACCAGGAGGAGGAGGAGGCGAGGGTGGCGGACTCGGTATTTGCAGTTGGTCGCCAGCATGATGGTCGCCAGCACGATGGTCGCCAGCATGATGGTCGCCAGCATGATGGTCGCCAGCATGATGGTCGCCAGCACGATGGTCGCCAGCATGATGGTCGCCAGCACGATGGTCGCCAGCATGATGGTCGCCAGCACGATGGTCGCCAGCATGATGGTCGCCAGCATCATGGCCCACTCCCAGCATCGCGCGGTTATTGCTGGCATGGCTCCGCCGCAAAACGCGCAACATCCGGAGAAAGCTGTACTACTTCTGGGGTGTGGCAGAGGCAATCGAGTTGGACGGCAGCGCGGCAATAATGGCTTGATTCAACTCATCGCCTCACTGGCATAGGGTCTCGCCTCGCCAGATCGCCAACAAGGGATTTTTTAGAGAGCAGAAGGTGAGGGTTGGGTGGGGAGGAGAGGAGAGGAGAGTGCCGTCTGTACCGTCGTACGCAGTAACCTAGTTCTCTCATTATTGTTCGCATCATGGCGCCGCAAAATGCGCAAAAAGAGAAACTGTCGCGTGGGGCGTTGGATGCGGCACGCTGGTCAACGAGGACTTGAGTCGAGAGCTCAATGCCAAGAGAGCTCCGAGACCAGCGGCGGCAATAATGGCTTCTGGTGGGAAAGAGTTTTTTCGAAGGGGACGAAGCAGGGGTGTTCGGGAGCGCGTTCAGCGGGAGAATGGCTTGTTTGCGAACTAGCTCTAGTCGAACACCAGCCACTTCGATGATGCGTCGGCGAACGGCTCGACGAGAGGCATAACCAGTTACTTTTGTAAATTTGCCGAACGATCAAAACTTCCTGTGTTCAAACGCATCCATCTAGAAAATGCCATCGAACGAAGCCCAGGTAACTTCTCGTTTCGTTTCTCGTCGACCGATTCGCTGATACGGTGTTGGGCTGGTTGCTTTCGTTGGGATCGAGCTGGCTGGGAAACCAGCCCTTCTCCAAACCGAACACGCTCCCGAGTCCCGAGCACTCCCTCCATCCGTCCTCCCCTCGACAAACAAGTACCCGCTGAGAGCCACTATTCCCGCACTGCCATCGATCTCGGAGCTTTCCTCTCTTGCGCTTAGCTCTCAAACCCATGTGCACAGCAGCGTGCGTTCTCGTTACCAGCGTTGCTGCATCCCAACGCCTCACGCGGCAGTCGCTCTTTGCGCGTTGTGCGGCGCCATGATGCGAGCAATAACTGCGAGCTGCTGGAATGAGATGAGGTACTACCGCTACGGTACAGGGAGCGCACTCCTTTCCCCCCACCCTAGCCTCACCCCCTGCTCTCGAAATTTACTTCCTTGGCGATCGGACGACGAGATCGGGTTAGATTGGGCGAGTAACTTGTTTGATATTTGAAATCAATTTACAGCCATTATTGCGGCCGCGCTGCCGTTCACACCAAGTACTCAACTTCGAGTAGGACTCTACCGTAGCACGCGCTAGCGTGGACACCAGAAGCCCTTTCCGCATGTTGCGCGTTGTGCGGCGGCAATAACGGCGAGCTGCTGAGAGGAGACCATGGCGAACCACCTCTGCAGCTCTCTCCACCTCATCGCCTGCTGCGAATCCCTTCACGATCCCTCGCCTCCTCCTCGTACTTCGCCGCAATACTTAAATCGCCGCCATTCCACCATTCGCCACCACCAACTGAGTTACTTCTCCCACTGCTCGAAAATCACCCGAATCTGATCCGCATCATCGCTCGGGGCTACTCTTAGAATCCGACACCGCTTTCACGCTCTCTTATAACGCTCGTTGCCATGGCCACTCTTCGCTCCGCGTTCATCCTCGCGTTGGTCCTCGTCTCTCTCCCTGCGCTCTATGCCGCGGCTGCGCCACTGCAGGGTGACGTGGCTGGTGGAAGTGCAGGCGTGGACGCGGCGAGTTGGGGCCGCAAGCTGCTGGAAGCGAGCGGCGGTGACGTGGACGTGGGTGGCGAGGAGGAGGAGGTGGGGGAGGCGACGGACGGGCTGGACGAGGCGGTGCGGGTGCTGCTGAGCTGGAAGAAGATCAAGAACGCGGCGAATCAAGCGGCGAAGAGCGAGGCGGGGCAGAAGGCGGGAGGGTTGGTGAAGAATGTGGTGAAGAAGGGCGGCAAGGAGGCGCTCACGGCTGCAGTCAACGCGTTCCGCAGCGGCAAGGGCGCCAAGGGTGCCCTGCAGGCGGGCGCTGGCTCGTTCGTCAAGACCGCAAAAACGATGATTTAAGTGGGAGAGGGGAGGGGAAGAGGCACTGCGGAGTGGAGGTCTGCAGCGGGAGACAACGCTGCTTCTGCTGCTACTAGTGCCTCCTCTGCTGTTGCTGCGGTTGCTGATGTGGCTTACAGGTGGCACGGTGTGCAGAATTGGTTGCTGAATAATTCAGGCTTGGTGATGCTGGGAGAGGTATATGTGTGTGTGTGTGTGGGTGGAGGGATTTGGTGGTGCGTGTGAGTGAAAGGGTTAGGTGGGCTGGTAGTGGATCCGGGCGTGCCTTTGGTTGCTTGGTGATGCTGCGTGTGTGGGTGTGTGGGGCCGGGTGTGGGTTGTGATGCTGGTGTGGTCTGTGGCTTTTGTGATGCTGTAATTTCAGATGCTTCTTCTACCGTAATCCTGCTGAAGCTAAGTGTTGGTTGTGGAAACGTTGTGTATGCTGTATTTGACACACAGCAGGAACTCACTAAGCACATTAGGCATTAGCCTTGCACAAGCATTTGGATCGTCTCTCAAGATTCGACATACGGTAGCACTCGTACTACCTTATTGGTAGTAATACTGAATGCAGGAACCATATTGGAAATAGAATGTGAAGAAATTTGACGTAGTCTTGTAGCAGTACAGACTTGTACCGAGTAGTTGTTGTAATGGGGCACTGTTTGCCGTACATTGCTAAAGCCCCCGACCCAAATTGTCCATGTTTTTTAAAACATGACGGGGAGGGAGTGTCAAATGTTGTAGCTTGTAGTGAGGTTTGTCTTAGGGGGTCCAGATGTTAGGGTTTGTTATATGTACCCCAACCCACATCAATGGACCAACACTTTCATTCTTAACATAGTATCACCTAGGTTAGGATCTTGTGGGATCCCGTTCCTCTCGTTCACGTCCGTAGCGCCCGAGCCTGTCCCGTACCCTAGTGCCCTTTACGCTCGTACTGTCCCCTAGCGCCTATGTCGCCTGCCGTTACGTCGCTCTCGTGCCCTCGCGCCCGCTGCGCCTGCCGTTACGTCGCTCTCGTGCCCTTGCGCCCTACTGAGTCGCTCTCACTGATTAGGGTTTTAGCAGCAGCACTTCCCACCTCTTTGCTTTTGCTATGGCGACCCCTAGGGTTCTTTGTTTTGACGCGGACGGTAGACCGCTCGAGTTTCTGGTCTACCTCCTACGCACGCGTCGCCTTCTAGAGAGTCAGGTCCAGACGGGCGAGTCCCTCTGGGCGCACGCTGCTGGTGACCTTCCTGCGCCCGACGACCCTACGCATTTAGGCCCTGCCCCTGACGACGCTGCCAGAGACCGCTTTACCCGCCAGCGTGCTGACCTGACGGCGTGGAAGTCGCGTGACGCTGCGGCCTGCATCGCTCTTAGCAGCCTCCTTCCTGAGTCTAAGGAGGCCCACTTCACTCAGGTTCGCATTGCTAGTGAGTTCCTGACTGCGATCAAGGCCCGCTACGCTACTCCCACCACTGTCTCCCTTGGCCGCCTCTTCCTACCGTTCTTGTTCCCTGACCTCGCCTATGGCGATTACTATCTACTTCATTGCCACTAGCCTCCCTGACCGCCTTGCCTCAATTCGTGATACGCTTCTTCTGAAGCACCCTAGTGAGCTCACTATCGAGGTCCTTGAGTCTGCGCTAAAGGACGTCGACAGCAACGTCTGCTTCGTAGCCTCCGCCTCTTGTGCTGTGCCCCCTCCACTGTTTCACGGGTGCACTGTCCCTCAGCTGCCCACTTTTACTGCCTCGCTAGCCACTGTCACTACTGACGTGACCGCAGCTGCTGTTACGACTACGTCGCGGTCTCGAGGTAGGGGTGGTAGGAGGGGCGGTCAGGGTGCAGGCGGCGGCGGCGGCGTTGGCGGCGGAGGTGGTGGGGGTGGCGTGCCGACCGGTGGCAGCGGGAGCGCATGGCCTGGAGAGGCGTCTCGTGCAGCGGCCAGCGACTCCCCTACAGCAGCTGGTGGAGGCGACACCCGGACTCGCCAGCCTCCTCCTGGTCTGCCGGCCGTGGTGGGTGGAGCAGCGGCGTGGTACCTGGCCCAGCGGCAGCAGCAGGTGCAGCAGCAGCAGCCCCTCCCCTTGCAGCAGCCCCCGCAGCAGCAGCAGAAGCAGCGGGTTTCGAGGCTGGCACAGCGTCCGCCCCAGCGAGGTGTTGTTCACCCTTCGTGCACCTATCAGGTTCTGACAGGTGCTCGCCGAGGCCAGCCTTGTGGTCGCACCCACCCTCCTGGTCAGTGCTTTGCTCAGCTCACTGACACGGTTCACTTGGCCTTCGGCGTTGGCGGCCCTGCCCCTGACTGGTTACCTCTTGTTCAGACGTACGGCTCCGCTCTTTGGGGCATGTCTGCTTCTCAGTTGCTTGATCTCTTAGGAACTCCTCATGCTATGTATGCTGTTGTTGATTCTAGTGCTTCTAACTCTGTTTACTCGTGTGTTGTTAGCTTAGGTGCTAGTCTTGCTGAGTTGCCTGTTGCTAGTGTAGGCACTTGTGTAGACACTAGTCCAGGCGCTACTTCGGAGGACGCTTTGCTGTCTTTAACTTTGGACTCTGGGGCTTCGCACTGCTTCTTCCGCGACCACATGACACATATTCCACTTCCTGCGCTAGTCTCTGTGGCCTTGGCTGATCCCACCTCGGGACCAGTCACTGCTCGCAACACTACTACTCTTCCTTGCCCTGCTGTTCCCTCCGGGTCTCTAACTGGCTTCCACGTCCCCTCGTTCTCGAGGAACTTGGTGGGCGTGAGGCCTCTTGTGAGTCAGCACGTGGGTGTGTGGATTGAGCCCTCTGGTGAGACGGCGGTTTGTGTTGACGGCGACACTTACTCGCCTCTTGCCACCTTTACTGCCGAGCCGGGCTCTGGTCTCCACACACTTCACACTGGCCCTGATGGGCAGCAGCAGCAGCTGCAGCAGCAGCAGCAGCAGCAGCAGCGGCAGCAGCAGTAGCAACAGCAGCAGCACCAGCAGCGGCAGCAGCAGCACCAGGAGCAGCAGCAACTCCTGCCCCCGGCCCCGATTACTTCCCCCAGTCTGGTCCCTACGTCTCACCAGGTTGCTGCGTCCCCCCAGGTAGCTGTGTCTGGTCCAGTTGCTGCGTCGTGCTCCTGCCGCTCGCTTGCACACCCCACCGTTCTGTGGCACCACCGGACGGGGCACCCGTCCCTCCCTCGTCTGCGTGCTATGTCTCGTCAGCGTCTTGTCTTAGGCCTCCCGCGTGTCTTGCCGTCGCTGCTGCCTTCACTTGCACCGCCGTGCGGTCCCTGCGTCGAGGGTCGGCTGTGCGCCACCCCTCACTCCTCCTCCCTTCGTCCGGCCACCGAGCCTTTTGAGACGCTCCACTTGGACGTCTGGGGCCCCGCCCCGCCCCTTGCCTTGGCCCTGAGCGCGAGCGTTTCTTTCTGGTGGTCGTTGACGACTACTCCCGCTACACCACAGTGTTCCCCCTAACAAAGAAGTCTGAGGTGACTTCTACACTGATCAGGTGGTTGCTTGCCACTGAGGGCACTCGTGGTCGTCGTGTCAGCTGTCTTCACTCTGACCGTGGGGGTGAGTTTCGCTCCGGCATTCTCGCTGGATTCTGTCGCGAGCAGGGCATTCGTCAGTCCTGGACACTTCCGGAGTCCCCACAGTAGAATGGGGTTGCTGAGCGCCGCATAGGCTTGGTCATGGAGATTGCCCGCACCTCCTTGACTCACGCCCGTGCCCCCCATTTTCTGTGGCCCTACGCGGTTAGGTACGCCGCTCACCAGCTGAACCTCTGGCCACGCGTCTCTCGGCCAGAGTCTTCACCGACCAGTCTTTGGACCTGGTCCCCTGGTGTTGCGTCGAGGTTTCGTGTCTGGGGTTGCTTGGCTCTTGTCCGCGACACTTCCGCGGACAAGCTCTCGCCTCACGCCGTTCCCTGTATCTTCCTTGGTTTCCTTGAGGACTCCTTTGACTTCACCTTTTACCACCCTCCCTCTCACCGGTTCTTTGACTCCCGTGACGTCCGTTTTGAGGAGTCCACGGCCTACTACGCCAGGTACCCCAGTCGAGGTCTCCCGGTTCCTCCTCCCCCTCTCTTCCTGACTTCCGCTCCCCCTCCTGCTCCCGCGGTACAGCCTCCCCCCCCTGGTCCCGCCCCGTCAGGTGTGTCCCAGGCTACCCCTCCCCCCTCGGTAGCCCCTCAGGTGTAGCCTCCTTCCCCGCAGTCCTCCTCGCAGCCTGCTGCAGACCCTGTGGGAGCCGGGGCACGTGGAGAGGGCCCTACAGGTGCTAGCTCTGGGGGTGCTGGGGTTGGAGCTGAGCCTGTGGTTGCAGGAAACTCTTGTCTTCCGAAAGCTGGTGTTGGTCCTGCTGACTTTGGGGTTGTTACGTCTGGGGGTGCGGGTGCACCCTCTTCGGGTCCTGGTGAGCCTGGTCGTGTTGCTGTTGGTGGTGCTGAATCTGGGGGTGGTGCGCCAGGTGCTTTGGAGGGCGGTCCCGGGGCTGCCGCAGCCCCCGGCACTACTCCTCCCCCCCACCCCTACCCGACCCGGCACCAAGCTCGTGTTCGCCGTGCCCGTGAGGAGCAGCTGGAGTTGGAGAGAGAGGACAGAAAGTTGCAGCGGCTGGAGGAGCAGCAGCAGCAGCTGGAGCCGCTACAGCAGCAAGAGGAGCAGCAGTAGCCGCCGCCGCCGTAGCAGCAGCAGCAGCCGCCACCTCCTCCTCCCTGTCTCCAGACTTCGGGCCCTCGGTCTCCCCTCCCGCTCTCCTTCCTCTTCCCCCTCTCCTCCCATCTCGGGTCCTCCACTTCCTCCTCCTGACCCCTCCCCGGCTGTTTTCCCTCGTTCTTAGCCTCCGTTGTCCCCTCCTCCTTCTCAGAATTGGGCCTCTCGTCGCTCCCCTCGTGCTCGTCCCTCGTCTTCTGCTCTCGTTACTGACCTTCGTATTGCCCTCTTTCGTTCTAGTCCGCCTCGTTCGTCTCCGTCTCTCCTTCCGTCTCCTCTTGAGTCGGCCTTCACTTCTTCTCTCTCTACTCCTGTCACTGACTACTACCGCACGTACCATCCTGTTCTCTCTCGTGTTCTCGCCTCTCTTGTTACCGACCCTCGTGCCTCTGTCTCCTCTGTCTCCACCCTTACTGCCACAGTCACTGAGTTTGCCTCCACTCGCCGCCTTGACTACGCCACCGGTCTTGTGGCTGCTCCTCCTACCACTCCTCTGGCCGCCGGGGGTGAGTCTGCCCTTGGCTGTGACGCCCTAGAGGACAGGCAGTTTGAGCTAGAGTTCCTGGCAGCCGCTTCCCCACATCTCTGTGCCATGCTGCTCGACCCTGAAAAAATCCTGACGCGCTTGACATACCGACTCCTGGCACTTACGCTGAGGCAGTGTCAGGGCCTTGGGCCTCTCAGTGGAGAGCTGCCATGGACGCAGAGATGGCCTCCTATCGATCCACAAGCACCTATGATAGCATGTGGATCTACAGGGTGAAGCGGCCATCGGGATCTCCTCCGGTCTTCAAGGCGCGCTACAAGGCTAGAGGTTTCAGACAGCGCGAGGGAGTTGACTTCTTTCAGACCTTCGCGCCCACCCCGAAGATGACCACTCTTCGGGTGTTACTACACGTAGCAGCACAGAGAGACTACGAGTTACACTCTCTCAACTTCTCCACTGCTCTCCTTCAGGGTAGCTTATACGAGGAGGTCTGGGTGCGTTGTCCCTCTGCCTTCACTGACACTTTCCCTCCTGGGACCCAGTGGAGGCTGAGGCGACCTGTCTACGGTCTTCGTCAGGCTCCTCGTGAGTGGCACGATACTCTTGGTTCTACCCTCTCTGACCTTGGGTTACAGCCGTCTTCTACCAACCCGTCGCTGTTCGATCGTCGTGGCCCCACATCGTTCTTTATTCTGGTCTACGTCGACGACCTGGTTTTCGCCACTGCTGACAGGGTTGCCTTGGCAGACGTGAAGTCCGAACTGCAGAAGAGACACACGTGCATTGACCTTGGTGAGCTGCGCCACTACCTTGGCCTGCAGATCACCAGGGACAGAGCTGCTCGCACCATTACACTCTCACAGTCACACATGGTGCAGCAGGTCCTTCAGCAGTTCGAGCTTCAGCACTCCACAGTACAGCGCACACCTCTTGCTGTTGACCACAGACTTACTGGACCCTTTCTTGACGAGCCGTTTGAGTCTAGTGGTCCCTACGCAGAGCTGGTGGGCTGCCTCATGTACCTGATGACTTGCACTCGCCCGGACCTCGCCTTCCCTCTCAGCATCCTTGCTCGCTTTGTTGCACCAGGGAGACACCGTCCTGTTCACTGGACGGCAGCTGTGAGGGTGGCAAAGTACCTAGCGACGACATCAGGCGTGTGGCTAGTTCTTAGAGGGCAGCAGCCTGTCGTACTTAATGGTCACTGTGACTCTTCTTACGCTGACGACGCTGAGACTCATAGGTCTACTCAAGGGTACTGTTTCAGCTTGGGTTTTGGAGCTGTTTCGTGGCGGTCCACGCACTCCTCTTCGGTCTCGACCTCTAAAGCTGAGGCTGAGATCTACGCTGGTGCCATGGCGGCACAGGAGCTGCGTTGGTTGACCTTCTTGCTCGCCGACCTTGGTGAGCGGCCGAGCTCTGCACCGACCTTGTTCACTGACAACAAGGCGTCAATTCTCCTTTGTCGAGAGCCGCGACTAGAGAGCAGAGTGAAGCACATTAACATCAGGTACTTTCTTCTACGAGAGTTGCAGAGACGTGGACAGGCTCGCTTCGAGTTTGTGGAGTCCGAGGCCAAAACTGCAGACATCTTCACCAAGGCGCTTCCCCCTTGTGACCACCAGATGTGTTGTGTGCAGTTCGGCCTTGTTGACACAGTTTCTAGTCGTGTATAGGCTTGAGTCTACTGTTTGCTTTGCTTGTACTCTTGCTATACACACTTGTGAACTCTCTAACTAGCCTTGTGGCCCCTGTTGCTTGTGCTCAGAGAGTGTGGTGTCGTTGTGATCCACCCTGAGCTTTGTTTCTTTGTGACTGGTCTTGTGACCGTACACTTTTGGTTTTGCTTGACACCCCTCACTTAGGCTATGGGGGTGTGTCAAATGTTGTAGCCTGTAGTGAGGTTTGTCTTAGGGGGTACAAATGTTAGGGTTTGTTATATGTACCCCAACCCACATCAATATGAGGAAAGTAGAACGAGAATGAATGACTAAGGAATGGAAGTGATACAAATATGCAACCCTAGAAATGTGTACCCCATATGGGCTACCCCACTATAGCCTACACAATATTATAATTTGACACACCCCCATAGGCAAAGTGGGGGAGAACAAGGGGTCACAAGACCAGTCAAGCAAAGCAGACAAAGCTCAGGGTGGATCACAACGTCACCACACAGTCCGAGCACAAGGTCAAGGCCACAAGGCCAGTTCACATGCAGGAGTACACATATATATATAAGGCTAAACAAGCAAGAGCAGGTATATATGTATATATGTAAGAGTAAAGCAAGGTCAAGGGGTTAGCAAGTGAGGCAAGACAGGCACAAGAACCAGCTGAGTGCAGAAGCGCTGATGATCACAAGGCGGAAGTGCCTTGGTGAAAACATCAGCAGTGTTGGCCTCAGAGGCCACGTACGCAAGGCGCAACTGACCACGCTGCTGCAACTCACGAGCAAGAAAGTAGCGGAGAGCAATGTGCTTCGTTCTGTGCTCCAGGCGCTTCTCCTGACACAAGGCTAGCATGGCCTTGTTGTCTACGTACAGCACCGGAGGAGAACGAGGCGGCTCTCCGAGGTCACTCAGCAGGTAGGTAAGCCAGCGAAGCTCCTGTGCAGCCATGGCCCCGGCGTAGATCTCGGCCTCACCACTGGAGCCGAGAACAGAAGACGAGCGAGTAGCCCGCCACGAAACAGAGCCGGAACCAAGGCTGAAGATGTAACCCTGTGACGACCGCTGCGTAGCCTGGTCGTCTGCCCAAGAAGCATCCGCGTGCCCAGTGAGGACCACTGGACTCCGCCCTCCAAGCACTAGCCCCATGCTCGACGTACTGCACAAGTAGCGCAACACCCTCTTCGCTGCAGCCATGTGCTCTGGTCTGTGTCTCCCAGGAGCAACATAGCGTGCAAGAATGCTAAGAGGGTATGCAAGGTCAGGTCGTGTGCAGGTCATCAGGTACATGAGGCAGCCAACAAGCTCTGGGTACGGGCCACTCGACTCTACGGACTCATCCGAAGGCAGAGCTGAGAGCGAGTGGCGAGTAGACAGAGGAGTGGCCTGAGGCGAGGAGTACGTGAAGCCGAAGCGCTTAAGGACCTGCTGCACCATGTGTGACTGAGTCAGGGTAATGGTGCGGCGTGCTCTGTCCCGGGTGATCTGCAAGCCAAGGTAGCTGTGCAGTTCACCCAGGTCTGCGCACGTGTGTCTCTTCTGCATCTCGGACTTCACGTGGGCGAGTCCAGCAGTGTCAGCTGTGGCAAAGACCAACTCGTCGACGTACACGAGGATGTAGAACGGCGGCAGAGAGGTACACGAGGATGTAGAACGGCGGACGGAGGACAGACAGACGCAGACTCAGCAACAAGACTAGCAGCGGAGTCTAGACGACAGCGAGCAGCAAAGTCGACGAGCTCAGCAACAAGAGCAGACGCAGCAGTGGACTCAAAGGAGGGGTCATTGACGACAGTAGCAAGGAGACGCGTGACAGTAGGACTGGCAGCACGAAGAGAGTCCGACTCAGGGTCGGCAAGCACAGGAAGAGAGGACTCAGGAGGAGAGGGCAAAGGGGCATGCAGAGGAGCAATGGACGGACGCAGAGACATCCAGTGCGTGCCAGGGACAGGAGGAGGACGTTGACGCGAACTGCGGCCACTAGTGCGAGCAGCACGAACAGGCGACGCAGGACGAGACGCAAGCTCACGACGCTCAGCAAGACCTCCAGTAGGTCCAGTGTACGGAGAAGGAGAAGGCAGAGGGGAGGCCGGCGGTAACTGTGACTGCGACTGGACAAGCGGTGGACACTCTAAGGGAGGAGGAAGACCAAGAACCTGCTGAAGGAGCGGAACAAAGTACACCCGAGGCCGCACGGGGACTCCAGACACAGCAGGGACAGCACCAGCACCCCCAGCGGCAGCACCAGCGTCAACAGCACCTCCAGCTCCAGTAGCTCCAGCAGCACCAGCAGCACCCGCAGCAGGACCGCCGCCAGGAATGACAGTAGT